TGTGCTTCAAATTAACCTTGTGGATCACATGACCCGAACAAAAATCGACAGGAAATTTAACCTCTTCCACATTCTCTAAAACATCGAAAAGTTTCAGTCGGAGTATGAAAACAAAATTTGCAATTTTACTCCGAAAAAGACACCTTTAGTGAACGTCAGAGCAGCAGTGTCAGAGTTATGTGATGATCACAATTATAATAGAGCTTTAATTAGCCTGAAACAACGGTACAGAGGAATAACCCCCCCAAAAAATCGACAAAGCCACGGCTCGTAACTGGAAAAATGTTTAAAACAATGTAGTGCCGCGCCACCATCCCACCTCGTCGTCTTGCCGTTGCTTCGGAATGATTGACAAGCTCGAGCTGGAGACTAACAGGTGTCTCTTGGCGTCCCTTTGATTTTTTTCCTTCGGTAACACAATTCTCGGGCAGTTTACGCCGTCAGTGACATCCCTGCCGCGGAGGTACGCTCGCACGATGTAATCAGTCTCGCTTCACCACTCTTCATCCGCCTTTTGCAATTATGCTTGCAGCTGCAAAACGTTTGTTGCCTTCCATCGTTTGTCGAAAATGTGGGTTGGTGGTGGGTTATGTGACTCACTTGGGGGTTTATTGGTCTCCCTCAAGATCTGTGGTTGAACAGCAAGCAGATAGCATTTCTCACCCAAAGCCAAGAATGTATTAAGCGTGTAACCGGATGTCATTCGCGATTGTAGTTGTTTGGATTGCGGATTCAGAGCTTGGATTTCGGCGAAATGTTTGTATATGAGGGGCAAGTGAATCAGTGCAGCAGCAAAACATATGTTCGATTTCGACTTCAGCTGACCTAACATGCATGCATGTTTTGGAAATGTGGGAGGGCGCCTGAGGTGTATTTGGAAGGACTGTCTCTATGTTTCTTGGTATGTAGCCTACCTACATTCAAGTGACCAGATGTCTGGTATCCATTTTTTTTTTCAAACAAATGTGATTTTACTTGTCATTTTTCTCCCCCATCTACTGCAAGCCAGGGTTTACCAAAAGTGTGAATGTGTGGGGGAAAAATGCAGAGGATCAACTTTTGTAGCAAATAGGTCCGAAATTATATTGCAAATGTCATTTTTTGAAGTGACATGTGTCCAGGTGTTCGGGACAACCTTATCATGGATATTCTACATCCACTTTCTGTAAAAAAGAACACCCTTATTTTTTTTTAAATGTGTTTTTGAAGAAAGATAACACTGTATTGTATCAACGATTAATCCACCAGTCTTCCACATCACAAATCGTCACTCGGGTCATGGAGCTTGTCCCAGTTGATTTTTGGTGAGCGGTGGACTACACCCTGGACTGGTCGGCAGTCGATGATAGGACACACATTAAACAACAACCATTCACACTCCCATCTATGCACAGTTGAGCATTGGTACTCACACATCACAGCATGACGTGGCTTTTTCTTGACTGTTTCCTTGTTTTAAAACAACATTTACGCAAAGCTTTGATGATAAAAAGTCAGACTGAATGTGGGCCTCTTCAGACGACAACATTACCATGTGCAGATAAATTGTCACAGCAACACTCTTCACACATGCACTTCCATGAATAATGGAGACAACAAAGTAAAGAAAAAGGCAAACGGCATCGAGGAAGGGTTCAAATAAATATCCATCTTATCAAAGTGAAAAAAACCCAACAAACCCCGCCCCCCCAAAAAAGAAGCTATTTCATTAATAAATGTGGTCCAGTTATGCTCTAGTAAAATTTGTATGGTTAGTACCAAGCCAGAAATATAGAACTAGAATATTCCCCCCCCCCCAAAAAAGAAGCTATTTCATTAATAAATTTGGTCCAGTTATGCTCTAGTAAAATGTGTATGGTTAGTACCAAGCCAGAAATATAGAACTACAATATCTTTGACAGTGATATATGTACAACAAAACTGAAGTTGTTGGTGTGCTTTATATGTCTGCATACACAAATCGAAAGTCAAATTGGAACAATGTTAAGTTGTTGTTTTGGCATCGTTGTCTTTGATCAATGCAACTTGCATGCGTGAAACATCATCCGGTAGCTCAGTCCCAAGTACAGGCTTTAACCGCGAGTTCAGGCAGACGAATATCAAAAGGCTCTCTGCATAATCATCTGGTCCGTTACAGCTCCCGCGTGCAGATTGCAGCGTTGATATGTACTTCAAGTCTCCCGCTGCTCCGGTTTTCCCAGAGACCACGCTGGCACTGGCAGTTCTGGCAGTGTGCATTATGTATATCGCGTATCTTTGTAACGCAGTGGGTGTCTGCTGGGCTTTGGCTCTGCGTGCGCCTTGGGCAAATTTTCCTTTGCTGAAGCACACGCTGTCCCACCCTAACCCTGCCTTTAGTGCATGTTGTTAATTTGTTGAAACATCCCAAACTTAAAGGAGGCATATTATGCAAAACAGTATCCAGTTAATAACACATGCTTTCTTTGAAATACCTTGCGGAACAAAAATTGTAACATCCTTGACACACATTTACCGACTTGCTGAAATCAGCTTGATTTGATTGCAAGTCGAGCGGTAAACCCTGTTACAAATTAAAAAATTCTGAGATGCCCCCCCCCCCCCCCGCCAATATCTCAGATTTCTAAGTTATTATGAATTCATATTAAGTGAAATTATGATTTTGGTTGTAAAATTATAACTTTACCTTTGTGTTAAAATGTCCCCCCCCCCTTTATATTATTAGGACTTTATTCCCAGTATCTTTTCTTTTTGCAGCAAAAACAATTTCCGCTGTGTTGTTTTTAAATGGTACAATGAAAATCATCGAAATCCAATTTATTGTTTCACTTCTTCAAAATGATGGAGTCACACTAATTTACACAAAAATTTGCATTCCGCCTTTCTCACTGCGGCTCTCCTTACTCTACTCAGATCCTTGCGTCAAACACGCACTGACCACAGCGCTTTCAGCGATTTTTTTTTTTTTTTTAAACAGAAGTTGTCAGTAACAATGGCAGCGGAAGAGCTGCGACGGGCCTATTGATTGTCCATTTTTTTCAAACTATCCGCATGTGGAGGACATGTCATAGCCAGTTTCCCCACCTCCCACCTGACTGGCATCCATTATCTCTGAGTTGGGAGCGGTCCATTTCGCTAAATATATGATGACAATTGATCCACTTGCTGTGCTGAGGGACCAAAAAAATAAATAAATAAATACATGCCGGCGGCCTCTTTGTCTACATGACAATTCTAATCTTGTGAATTTTAATGCATGTACCTGCAATTCGATTATGCCCCCCCCCCCCCCCCCAATGTTTGTTTTTTTTTTTTGTCATCCTGAATATGTAACCCCAGCACGTGTATTCCGGTACTAGCCAGGACTGCCAGTGAGGCTCAGTTGGAGGTAAAGATGACTCCCTTCATCACAATTCAGAGTTTGTAGCACTTTATTTTACCCCATGACCGCACACAAATTCTGGCTACCCATAAAACACATAGATTGAACAAATGCAATTGTTACAACTTGATCAAAACCAACATTGAAGTCAGTCATGCATCAGTGGAATAGTTACTTATACATTCTTCCAAAAAAAAATAAAAAATAAGGCATTGATGACCATATGTGCCACCTGACCAGTGTTGGTAGTTGAAGAAGACAGTGTAAACGTCCAGCTTACAAACAACAGCCTTATTTTCAGGAGAGTTTTCTTTTTAAAACACTGGAATGTGCATGCCAGGCCAGTATGAAGAAACCATACACTACTCACAAAAGTCCAACTGTTCAGTGTTCCTGTAGTTTTTGCACAACTTGCTGCACTCCGGTTGCAGAGATACAGAGAGACCGGAAGAGTCACAGAAAGGTATACAAGTGGACATAGTTGGAATTGTGGATCAAACACCTGTTGTGAATGCCAGTTGTGTGAAAAGTACTGAACCTGCGAGCATGTGTACAGTCATGTCCCTTGGTGGGTGCTGCTGCTTATTTTGCAAATAGTGGCCGGGAGAGTTGGTTAACTCAGCTGCAGATACAGGGAGGTGTCTATTATGACTTCATTTGTATGTACATTGACACACACAAAATTGTAGAATTTAGTGGAATGTTAATTGCCCCCCACATAAAACTTAAGATAATTTGTAATACTGCAACGGGAACTTGTTTACAGCATGCAGCCCATTCCTCATACTGAACCTGTGAGAATATGTACAGGAATGAGCCTTGATAGGTGCTGCTGTTTTGGGAAGCAACACATTTTGAATGGCCTCTTTCGTGCAAGAGGATTGATGTAACAAAAGATCAATTTCAAACAAAAATTCTGAGTTTGGGTTTAAAATATACCTTTTGGGACACCAGTCTGGGAACTTTTTCACCCATTGATTAAATGTGGCACAGCGCAGTTAGAGTGGAGGTCATTACTTGATCAAATACGGTAAAATGCATTTTTGAACGTTGGCGTCTATGAACTGAGACAATCACAACGACTTCCCTTTATTCCTAATGGGAAAAAGGGATTTTTAGATTGCGAGACGGCATCTAATTGAGGACTCGGAAAGTAGAAAAAAAGAAAGGACAAATTGGTGTGTGGACTTTGAAGAGTTAGAAAAAAAAGTTTTTTCACCACGTTAGACAAAATGAGTACCACACAATTTCAATCCAGTCTGATCCACTTTAACAACCCCCACACCCCCCTCCAAACAAATAGATAATTCAGATCATTTAGAGAATTTTTTTTTTTTTTTTTTTTTTTTTTTACATCATCCTGATTTTCTATCACTGGCACCATTCTTTTTTTTTTATTCATAGTTCAAACGGAAACTCTGCAGGGAGTGTGACCTGATGGCACACACCTATTAAAATGAATGCAGAATGCTTCACAGATTCTGGAAGCAAAATGCCAGGATGATATTAGTATGATGAGTCTCCTGGGATGTGGAAGTTGATTCATAGCTTAATAACATAACAGCAAATAAAAATGCCTTTTACGATATGGTCACTTGACAAGGGTGGTGGGGGCCTTTTTTTAATTTTTATATATATATTTTTTATGGCCCATTTCAGTTCTCCAAAGGCCATGCTAAATGTATTATCATTAAAACACCTGATGCAAGCTAGCAATTATTATTTATATTGTGAGCTATATTTGCTGGCTTTTCTTTGCCCTATGTGATTTTATTAGTTTTTAGAATTTACATGGCGTTGCAGATCAATTACTCTGGGGAGGGATGACGTATGTTGTCCAGGTAGGTTGCCCACCCCATCTTAAAATAACAACCAACTGAATCAGTGCCAAAAGCGGATCCCACTTCTTCCGCCATGAGGGGTCCCCCAAATCTGAGACAGCGCAAAAAACAATAAAACAGCAAAAACAAACAAACAACTACAGCGAGCCGCCGAGTCCCATTCACATTCCAATCGAGGAGCAGTCAGGGCCACTCGAGAATGGTCGGTCGTTCGGTCTTCCAGTGCCTGATCAAGACCTGCAACGTAAGCAGCGCAGCGTGTTAATGTGGAGAACATCTATTCATTTCCAAAATGGGAACATATTGTTAAGTTTGGGAGGTCGATTTGAAAACAAAATCCCAAGCATGGAATGACATGACAGAAAGAAACTGAACAAAAACACTCTAAGGAGCGACCACCTGCAAGTCTTCCTCTTCCAACACATAAAGTGACATCATCTAGAATATTGCTTAAGGAACACACGGTAAGACATTGTTACTTTAATTAAAACCCGAGTGTCTACTCCGTAGGTGCTGCTGTTTTGGTTAGCAACACACAGTAGTTAATATATCCGTATCTCTTTTTAGCTTTATGTATCTATATCTATAGGTATAGATTTACAGATATAGTTATATAGATATACTGTATATGGATATCTATATTTCTATATAACTATATACCTATATCTGTTGATATAGATATGTAGATATAGTTATATAGATAGAGCTATGCAGACATAGATAGATATATTTTATTTTCTTATATATAATAGGGGTCATGCTCCACAATCCACCTCTGCAGTTTTGACTAATTTCCATACAAAGTGACGCTTTACTTCCACTTTTCCGTCATCAAAGATGGGAAATGCTTTTGCCAGCAAATTTCTAAGTTTGGCACTTTGTCCATCTTCTGTATTGCTAATCGAGCTCGCGAAAACTTCATCATCTCTGCATCTTTTCTTCGGGGTGGGAAAAGACCGCGAAAAGTTTCAGAGGCCATTAATCTTAATTGAAGAGTAAGAATATAATTTGTTAAATCATCAAATAGTTTAGCCGGGGAAGCCATTAAGTCCACTAATAAGTCGTAAGTACTTTGATACACTTTGATGCTCTTCATTGAGCTGCCATAAAAAAGTGCCATTTCTATACTGTGCTTCAGTGGAAGGTCGACATGATGTGAAACCTAATTTACAGTCCTGGCTCGCAGGACAAAACATTAGGTACACCTGCACAAGCTGTGGGGATCTAATTTCAGTCAGGGTGAAAGGATCGTCTTTAAATTGCTGCTTATTGTGCTTGCATATTTATAGTTGTTATTCTGAGGCCAGACATATCACAAATAATACTGCAGTTGTGTTCATCCTGGTGAAAATTTACATCTCAAGCACGACCCCTCAAATTGAACTGTTTAAAAAAAAAAAGTACGGTATATATATTTTCCTTCAAAGACAAACTTGTCCGAGATATTTTGTACAATTGCTACCAAATCTCAATCACAGATGCAAGACAGATGAAACTGCTTGTCGGCGTATTCGGCATGTGGAATGAGATTAATTGTTATAATGAGCAAAACCCAATTAATGAATAAGTCCACACTTGTGGGTGTTACTTTTTACACATTATTGACCAGCCTAAAGTGCTGAAAATGGCTTGCTCTCTTTGAAAATGCAATGTTAATCATTGAACAAAAAGGCCGTTTTGGGGGTCTGCTGAAAAGTGATTTTGGATGTACAACGGATCTGCCCGACACCAGCGATACACATAAACTCCAAATTCACTTAACATGAACTCTAATTTACCAGTAACATCGTTAATGTTATTGTAGAAATAACGGTCTTGCCCCTCATCAGTAGTTAAGTAAATTAGGTAAATAAGCACCTTTTTTTTACCTCCAGGAATAATTGGTCAAAGTCTTGGTTCAAGACAATGACTACGTTTACATATGGTCAATATTCGGGGTAAATTCCTGTTTCTGAAACATTTGGGGTAACCGGTTTACATGAGTGAGCAGACACAGTTTGTCCCATTTACATGGTAGTTGAGATCAACTGAACTTTCCCCATCTAAACGACATTGCACTGTTTCTGCTTGTGTTTTTGGGTGGGCTACGTACTACACACCCCACATACAAGAGCTTCCTATACTCAAAAGACCAACATTCAATGTGGACGTCCCTTTGAATGGAGGTATTTCGATACGTTTTTATCTGACCAAATATTCGTGTTAGAAAAGGAGTACCGCAGGGGTCTTATTCGGGGTTTTTAAATATCACTGTATTTTGGTGTTTGCGGGTGTTTACATGGCCCGTAAAAACCCGAGTCTTTGTGTTTTGAAAGGATTATCGACTGCATGTAAACGTTCACTGGGTGAAGCATGACTTTAAGATATTTTTTTTTACTTACTGCGCAAGCTGGCATTTGGTAGTCGTAACAAAGCGTCCCGTGTAGTGGATGTTACACCTGACCACATTGTTCGTAAAATCGGATTCCATCACCAGGAATTTGGGGTTGACCGTGAGCTAAAAACCAAAAGAGAAATGAGATTTGAATTAAAAAGGAAAAAAAAAAGTCAGAGTCCCACTCGGTTCTTACCTTCAGTATGTAGTTTCCAGGCTGGATATCAGTGATGTCGATCCATTGACAGTCAATATCAGCATTGTAAGTATCATAGCAACCTGGGCTCAGACCCTGAGCAAACGGAGACATCAAAGTCATTCATATGACAACCGAATGATATTTCAACCTAACTTTTTTTTCCTCACTAAATTACAATTTGATTCTCCCTAGCATCATGAGTTAAAATAACACACACACACACACACACACACACACACACACACACACACACACACACACACACACACACACACACACACACCTCAAGTGAAGGTGGCTCGTTTGTGTTGAATAACTGGACAATTGAAACCAGTCATTTATGTAACATGGGCAGGTGACTGAGTACATGCGAGATCAGTGATTCTTAACCGTGTTAGAGGTACCGAACCCAACTAGTTCATATGCACGTTCACCAAACCCTTCATTACAAATTCAAGACACATTAAAAAAAACACATTGATTAAAAACAGAAAATAGTACATAAAATTACATGGCCTAAGTATAGTTTTTTTTTAAATTGTATGACATACTATCAGGATAGTCACATGGTGACTACTGAGCGAACTAAAATATCCGCAGCACTGATTGAACAAGCAATGTCATGTGATCATCTGCAGCCAGTGATGTCCAGGCGGGCGTGTCATAACTAATTGACATGTTGAGTCTGGTATGTCTTAACCTCCATGGCAGAAGCTCCGTCGAACCCCTGAGACCGCTTCACTGAACCCCTAAGTTTCGATCGAACCCAGGTTAAGAACCAATGTGCTAGATATATGGTGTTGATGCTTTGCTGATTGTGCTTTGTGTTGGTACAGAGCACAGTAAAGTAGTCGATCCGAATGGAATCCCAGGCCATGTTTTGAGTGCTTTGCCACCATTTTATGGTAATTCCAAACCTTTTTGTTAGCGAGGCCTCAATTATTTGCGGTTTGCCGAACTGCCGCGTTACCTGAGTGTGAGAGGTGCACGCATAACGTTTCAGGTGTCCGAAGTCACAAGTGGTGTCCTCCAGACAGAAACTGGCCTTGTGTCCTTCCGCCACTTTGCGACCTGAGGCGACCTCCAACAGGTCATAGTGGCTGAACTCATCCATGCTATGATAGTGCCTGCGTTGGGAAAAAGGAGAAAAAGAGCGGTTGCTAAGGAAGGAGGCAAACAAACAGTCATGTGAGCTCGAGTTCGGCTTGTTCCAGTGAAACTCTGTGACGTTTATGCAAATATTGTGAACTCATTTGTTAGTGTTTGCGTGTGTAATGCCGTGCCGTGCCGTGCACATATTAACGGGAACTTTCAAAGCCAAGGTAGGTTAATTATGGACAAATCAACATGTTACGTCCTTCGCAAAAGAAAATAAGCGTGTATGAGCGACACAAGACTTACATTATACGCGTATTTGCACAGCTTTGGCAGATCAGGGGAGTCAGATCAGCAGAGCACGTGGTGACCACGCACCCGCTGAACTGAACAAAATTTGGATTTTTGAAATCCCAGTCATCATGTATTATTCCTCATTCTGCGACTTGGGTTTGCGTTTTGCAAGATTATCCATTTTCAGGGGCGCTTGTCATCATTTGAGTAGCTGCTGAGCACCGGCCTATCCCAGCTTAGTTTGCGGCGAGGGCGGACAATACCCTGTAATGGGTGTATAACGCATAGAACCATTCACGCTCACGTTCACAACCATGGACAAGTTGGAGTCTTCAATGAACCTGGGGGGAAAATGCGTGAGGAAGCCAGCATATGCGGAGTAAACCCACAATAGCTGAGGGAGGAGCGTGCAAACTCCACAGAGAAAGCCGAGAGGTGAACTCAGAACCTCTGAACTGTGAGGCCGACGTACTAACTACTATTTCACTTCGACGGATGAAAAGTAATTAGTTTCTCTTCATAATCCCAAATGAAACTTTCATATCATGACACTTCAGAGGCCTTCATCGTGTATCCAATGACCAAAGCGCCTTCCCAATTGACATTTGTGTGAGTGAGCTAAACACTCCCATTAAACTTCCATACAAAAGACGTCATGGGGACATTCTGTGTGTTTCAATAAACACGATGCACAGTAAAATGAAAGTTTATTTCCAACTGCCATCATTATGGTGAGGTAAGCGCGAAGGACTCTTGAAGTCACACAAATTGAGCTTGCGCAAACATTGCTTTATTATTTTTATTATTGTATTGCATGTTGCAACATTTTTTATGGGGACCGTGGTTAATATACGCCAACGACAACTTGGAAAGCAAGTCGGAGTCAGTGGGGTGAAAATTTCAACACTCGGTCTTTCCAGTGGTGACCACTTACGTCCCTTGCTATCAATGCATTGCATGAAATTCAAATGTATGTGTTTCATTGTTGTTACATTTCTGGATTCCCTGTGCTGAGCAAAAATCATTGACAGCATGTTAGATGCTAAATACAATTTTTTGTATAATGCGTGTGTTCATGTGTGAAGCTTGGAAAAAAATATGGGAGTGGAAAAGAGATTTGCCCGAAAGATGGTCCCCATATGATTCTAGGATCCACTCCCCGACTACATATTAGCTCTGGAGAAAGCAAAGGAGGGACACGGAGGAGATATAATATACAAAGCATTCAAGCCCTGATTGTTAGTCATGAGGCTGTTTTCCAGAGGCGAGACCCAGCTCGGAGGTTGCGTTGACTATTTTATCCTAACTATTGATCTGACACTCCACGCAGCATAAGCAGGATTTGAAGACAAACTGTACGTACCGGCGGCCATGGACTCTAATTGTCACATAGCCGTAGGACACAAGATGCTCGGTGGAAGAAAAATTCAAACAACACTGCGGGAGAATGTTATTTTTTTTTCCTACCATGACAAAATACAACAGCAATGGCGCTTTAAATAATTTTCGATGACTTACATTGCCTCCAAAAAGTCATAGAATAGTGAGGTCAATTTACATTTGATAGAGAGGGAAAACATTTGGGGTTTGTTGCTTGTTGTCCCGTGACAATGGTTAAAAAAATAGTGTTGCAAGTTGACTTCATGTTCAGATTTCAGGTTTTGCCCGTGGAGACTACATTTACTGTCGACTAGTAGAGGTGCAACAGATGTGGAAAAATAAAACAAAACAAAACATTGTCTAAAGATGAAAAACAGCCAACTGTAAAGCTGAGCGAAAAAACATTTTGAGCACAGAACCTAAAATTAAAAGTAGCAGCAACAGCAGAAGGCAATAAGCACAGATGCTACACCTAAGTATGCAAAACTCGTGAGCAAAATGAAGGCCAGAGTGGAATTTGCCAAAAAGTGCAGAAACAAACTTCCAAAGTTCCTTGAGAAGGTGTTATGGACTGATGAGACAAAGATAAACCAAAGGAATGGGGAAGGGGGGGGGGGGGCGAAGCTTTCTGCTCATCATCCCCAACATACAAGCTAATCTTTGGAACTCAGTGGCTTGCTTGGCTCCTTCTGGGAATGCGCTCACTAATCTTCATTGATGATGTAACACATCAAGGCAGCAGCAAAAATGAACTCAGACGTCTACAGAAACATTTTGTCGGCCAATTTAAAGAAAGATTAGCCGCCAAGTGTTCATCAGGGGCAAGAAATGGATTCTTTGAGGCTAGCCAAGTCAATCTCCAGAGTTAAACACCATAGAGCCCTTATCTTTTATTTTTTTTTCTAGCGAAAGGGGGACTAAATGGAGTGAATCCCATCTCCAGAGTTAAACACCATAGAGCCCTTATCTTTTTTTTTTACGAGCGAAAGGGGGACTAAATGGAGTGAATCCCGAAAACAAATAACTGAAAGTGGCTGCCGCGAAAGCATGAAAAGGCATCACAAGAATTGTGACATGGTCAGTGACATCACAGGTCCAGTTAAGATCTGCACTGAAATGTGATGTCTTGTTCACTTTCATTTGTTCCAGTACTTTTGCACACTTCAAAAAAAAAGATTTCCACAACAGCAAATTGTGTGTCACACGCAGCTGTGTACCCGGGGAATACAATATTAACTGTTAGTCTCATATTAGTGTTTTTTGATGTCTAATCCAAATGTCTACAGCGACTATAAAAGAATTGGCTTCACTGTTCCGATACATTTGGAAGACGGTGTAACTCTGTTGGCCAATGTTTATGCGAAAAATGTGATCTTTGTTCTGGCTGGTCCTCTCATCTTATAAGGCACGAAAAGTCGGGGATAAAGATTGACCTAGCAAGTACAGAAATGCCATTCTCCGGATTCTAAACCAGTGTTGTCATCAAATGACTTTCAAGATGTGATTTTTAATGTTTTTTGGGGGGTGTTGTTTTGCTGCTTTAAATTGGGGGAAAAAAAGGTGAATCAATGTTCGGGCTGTCAATATTAAATATTTTTAGAATTGATTCCTTGATCGATTAATTTTATTTCACATATAAGTGTATAACCTTTTTTTTCATGATTAGTGTACTGTCATTCGATATCACACAAGAGGGATTGATTTTGCACTCACCAACCTTTTTAAAACGGATTCAGTTACTGGTTTGCTCATGGTTTTCCAAAATAAAAGCAGATGTTTGAGAAGGTCTTATTTTGATCAAACACAAAGATAATCAGTGTGCTTTCATGAAGTTCAACATAGACTGAAATCAGAGGATCTGGACAATTTTAAGATCAACAATGGCTCTAAACAATCATTTTAATATTAGCATAGTTGAATAATTTGATCATTTTAACACCTCCAAATTGATTATATGTAAGACTGTACAGAGCAGGCTTGAAGGGTGTAATTACCTCAAATGTGAAGAAATTATTCATTGGGTGCTGGAGTAGTTTCCCAATTGCGACATATTTGCTCATTTACAAGATAAAAAAAATCCACACAGGCTTCCATGGAACGGAAAAAAAAAGATCATATACTTTTCTCTAAATTTATTTATGCTTGGAACGGTGGCTAGAGAATACGGATGTAAAGCACAGTAATTAGCACATCTCGGGTCCTCATGGCAACTACAGAAACACTTTTCTCCATACTACCCGGTGCAGTCATTGAAATTACTTTAAACTGTTGTTTTGAACAGGAAATTGTTTTGTTTTGGTTTGGCTTTGCTGTAATGTAAAAAGAATGCACCCATCCGCCAACACCCATTCTCTATAGAGAGCATACATTCGCTCAGTGATGCCACGTTGAACCAGCTGCGTGAGAATAAAGTTCTCATCTGGAGATCTGATTGAATAGAAATGTAGGCCAGCAGAGTTTATAGGTAGAAAATGTGAAAGAGATTCCTTTCATAAGCAAACACCGTGCCCCAGTAACCCATATTCCGGCCGTGGCACTCGAGCAGCTATGTGATCGGGTGTCACGGATTGACATCAAAAAAAAAAAAATAAAAAATCTCCCAAAAAGATTGATTTGTCAACTCAGTCAGTGGAATGATTGCCCTGGCTTGCTGCCTCCTGGGAGCCGCCGCCACCACGTGTCAACGTCAACTGACAAATATAAGAAAAAAAAACAACAACACTGCCAATCTCCTAAAATGCTGCTTGCATTCTTCCTCGTTCGGGCAGTCTTGGCAAGACCGTCGATGTGGAATATATCGTCATAAAAATGAGAGCAATAACACTCCCCTCCCAACCGAATTCACATGGAATTCCTGAGTGACATTCAATTTGTTTCATCTGGGGCCTCGACGAGCCAAGTCAAACATTTCCATGGAGGGAGCGAGGGACGCCAGTAATATGTCTTTATAGAACATGGCGTACAGGAATCTGCCTTTGTGTTCTCGCTCGGGATTTGTAAGGGACTCACCTAGACGTCTTTTCAAAAGAAGAATTCTTTTGATGGTGAGCCAACTCTAAGTTGATGGAGGTAACCAGGGTCAAAGTAACATGTACACCACATTTTTTGGGGAGGAGGGGTGATATAGGACTCTTGATGACCAAAGCAGACTTATACAGTGATTCCTTGAGATACGAATGACCCGACTTCCGAGATACGAGCCGTCGAATCTAACTTTTAGAGATAGCCTTTCCACCAGATGGCGCTATTTGTGTGATTTTATGTTTATAGTTTATATTCAATACAGAGTTGTGACTATATCACAAGCCTTTGTGCGGTACGCGATGCCAGATGATTTCATGTGAGGTGCAACATGATTTCTTTTTGTTGTTGCTGTCCTCTAATAACTGCCGGTTGAACATAGGACAGCCATAAAAGAATTCAGAAGACAAAGAAGTGCTTACTGATGGCAACTGTGCCACTCCCAGGTATGGTGTGGCCTGTTCGGCATGAAGTCAGCGGTGCCCTTGTTCTTCACCCTCTGCGGGAATCGCAGCAGTACTCGGACGTCATAGTCAGTGGTCTCCGGTGCGTACGCAGAGCTGATGGATGAACAGATAAAGCAAAAAGGAGAAAAAGTAGCTTGTTTGTTTCTCATAGCCAGACTTGGAAAGGTTCACCGGGCTGGTAAATAATTCATCCGACGGGTTACATGTATCTCATCGCGTGTTGAGAGGGAAGCCAGTGCGATGATATACACTCTTGTTACAGGATTTACTTTGGTGCGAAATAAGACGAAGCGCCACCTCAACCGCGGAAGATCTGAGCCATTCATCTTGCGGCGCTTGTTTCATCAGGAGTGAACGGCAAATTAGGCCTGCCCATCTGGCGGTGATTGCCGCAAACTCAGACAGGATATGAAAGGGCTTTGAGGGATGACTGGGTGCTGATCTTCATGTCGTCATCGCAGTGGTGTCCTCAGAGGCGAGTCAGGCAAAAGGCCGGGGCTCTCGGGTTCACGCAGGCCATTGACTTAACAAAGAGGCCTGAAGCCCGCGAAGATGAGCACAATTTAGAATGTTCAAATGTATCATGTTCTCTCTTACATTTTATCTCTTAGTTTAATGTTAGGCAGCGAGGGCAGGAATGACTGTTTTGTGTGATTTTTTTTTCCCCCCAACTAATAAAAACGTTAAGTGTAAGAATTTCTTCATGAAAACGTTACCTGAAAAAATGTTACAATTAAAAATGTCATTAAAAAGTACAAATGAACAGGCCCTCTCATACTTGTTTTCAGCATCAATCCTTGAAACAATCAAATTTTGACAGCACGCTAAACCTATATTAAATGGAGGACAGGGATGGGAAACTTCAATGCTGAAAGGGGGCCAACAACCATTCACGCTCACAATCACTTCAAGGGACAATTTAGAATGTTCCATTAACTTCCCATGCATATTTTTGGAATGTGGGAGAATACCGGAGGTTGTGAAACCCAAATTGGCAAATGCCAGTTCAGTTTCATTCATTGATCTTAAGATGGTCCACCCAATTTAGTATCGATTGGACAAAATGCCTGATCTGGTCTAAGATGTGATGTTGATTTTGTGTAAAAAGTACAAAAGATCAGCGGAAAGTAGGCCAATCAAGATTATCATCATTTCTAATTTGTTTTGGCTTTGCTGTCTTATTAAAGGTCATCTGTATTAAAAATAAATGTCAGCATGTGAGGCCTGAACGATTGGTCGGCATTTTTTCTTAGTAGGACTCATACCGGAAAATGATTTAAAGCACTCAATCTTACGATCTAACAAATAAATAAACGTAAACAAATTCTTATTTTAAATGGTAAATTAACAACTATTCCTTTCTGATACTTTGAAAACCCCGAATAAGCACCAATACAGCAGATGGGAGGGATGAACTTACTTTAACAACAAGGCAAGATAGAGTAGCTTGTTTCAAATGAGATCTGCACTAAGACAAGCAGGAAAATGAAAATTAATTCAGTTTTACCTCGAAAGGCATTTTTCCTCAGCAGCACAGCGCAGGGAATACATGCGAGCCCTCTGAATGTACGTCGAAGCCTGGACATAGTTGGCATCTGGAACTAGGTCAGGTAACCCTAATGAATGAAAACAAAAAAAAAATCAAATATAAAGATTGGTAAATATTCAGGAACCAAACAATCAAGGATGTCATGTTTCAGAAGATTGTGTAAAAAGAAACACACGGTTACAAATGACTGCAACGGGCCCCACTTGACATCATGAATTTTCTCATTTATACCAGTATTTAAAGTGCAGTTATTCTACCTCGTGGCGAGGTAGGAAAATGAAAGTTTCATCAAGTTGAGAAAAAACAAACAAACAAACAAACAAAAAACAATCACCAAAATTGAATAAGGGGCAAAAATCCCAAATACTTTTACAAACGCAGCAATTTTTAACCGAATACACATACTCGTGTGCTGTGGAAAAAAAAATCTCCAACAGAACAAGACAAACAGCTCATGATTAGCTGTCCCTGTCCAAACAAGTTGGATTGATTGTGTTCAACTTTTGAGGTTCAAAACTTTTCACATTGGTTACCTTGTACAGTTGTATGATAGCTAGAATGGTAAATAGTTACCGTATTTTCCGCACTATAAGGTGCTTCGGAGCATAAAGCACACCTTCAGTGAATGGCCTATTTTCAAACTGTTTTCATATACTGTACAGGGCACACCGCATTATAAGAATGCTACAATAGTGGCTGTGGTTCCGTTATGCATCCACTAGATGGAGATACACGAAAGGGAATTACAATACAATACAATACAATACAATACAGCTTTATTTATATAGAGCTGTCACAACCGCTGCAGCTGTAACAAACGCTTTACAGAACATTTAAAATACAATGTCAAAGAAATCAGACTATTGATCCACATATAAGGCACATTGTATTATAAGGAGCACTGTTGGTTTTCAGAAAATATGCTTTTATAGTTGGATTTATATGCTTTTATATGCTCTGGAACACACGCTGACCTTTGTAACACATTTCAAATCCAGCCTCAAAACATATCTGTTTAGACAATCTTATTCACTCTGACCACAAATCCATTATCTCTATTTTGTTTTATTTTATCTTATTTTATTTGATGTTGTTTTTAACATTGTATTTTTTGTGTTTTTAACTGCTTGTTGTAAGGTGTCCTTGAGTGCTTCGAAAGGCGCCCACAAATAAAATGCATGATTATTATTATTATTTTAGCGCGCCTTATAATGCGGAAAATACGATACTTTGAAAGTTACCTGTGGCATTAATAAATATTTTGTCACGGGTTACAGTTTGGTTCTTGAACAAATTCATTCGAATTCCATTACTTTTGATGGGAAAATCGTTTTTAGATCTGCTCAAATTGCAAATCAAGCATCTAATAATATATTGTGTCTCAATTTAGAGAAGACATCAGTGTCAACTGTGACAAGCTATCTGACATGGATCATCTTTTCCAATCTTTCTACAATCCAGCCCTTTCCGGCTCCATCATATATTTGTCATCAATTTTTAATTCCGTGGCATTTATGAAAGGGCTGATGGAAGACACGAGGGGCAACAGCAACGGGGTCGGCAGTTCAAGACTGGGTCGCGGTGCACAGAGCCTTTGGCAGCTAATTACCGTACATTCCAGATGACTATCACGCTTTTCTAATGAGATGCTCCATAGGCCTTTCCAGACCACGGGTGAGTTTGGGGTGACTGAGCCAAAGGGTCGCATCGTGTGTGTGTGTGAATGTGTGTTTGTAAAATTGTCCCAAAAGAGAACATAACGCACACTAAGCCTCTAACTAAATGTAACTTCTTCCGAATATACTCATATGAATATCAGTACGATGGCTTACGCAGATGCTGTTATGCTGCCTCAGCTAATGTGATGTGATCTTCCCTGATGCTCGCTTTATTATGAATCTACCACTTGAGGTTAACTTTTAATGAAGTTTGTGTAGGTTGATGAATTCTATCTTCGGGGGGATTGAGCTCTACTTGGAAACATGTCAGCTGGTTTCCCAGAAGGCTGATTGACATTCAGCGTGAATTTGTCAGACTTTACTCAAGGGGTGCAGGAGAAGAATGAACATGTTGAAGAAAAAAACACGTTTTTTTGTTTTGGTTTCAAGTGGGCCACTGACAAGTCTCTGTGAATGTTACAACAGCAAAGTTTGATTTGTTTGTCTAACTGAAACTACAGAGGAGAATAACCGTCTCCTGTAATTACCAATAAAAGCAGGCCAAAACTGACATTAGTCATGGTTACTTTGTGATTCAACACACTTTTCAAGAAAATCAGGACTTTATGAGGTTAGGTCAACCAAGACTTTTTTTTTTTTTTGGAGGGAGAGGGGGCTTTCAGACCACTATGTAGCAGTGGAACAATTCGCGGAACAGTTAGCTTACACAGACAGGCAGATGCAAAGAAAGGAGGTCTGCTGCCTCTGCATCGGCATCTCTGGTGAGTACGGTGTGATTTTTATGTTAATAAGTATTGACGGGGGCATTATTTCATGTTACGTGTTATTAAGAGGTGGATTCAGTCACGTAAATACCCACTGAAAGCCCAAGTCCGAAACTCACTGCTCACCACTGGTATTGCTTTGGCACGCTTGAAACCACAGCTAACCAGGTACAAGAAACAGTACCTCATAGTCATGGACTTTTCCAATGGAAGAGTTGAAATTAATATTCACTAGATAGGTGCCATGTGGCTGCGAAGGAGCAAAACTTGAAACCCAAAACCCTAAAAGCTAACGAAAGGAGGGTTCTCTATTCAAAGACTAAATAAGTATCGGTGAAAAAAAATAACGCGGCTACTTTCAACGTGGAAGTACAGAACATCAAGTGAGAACTATCTATACTGTATGCTAGCATACCAAATTTTAGCACGTTATCCATTATCACTTCGAATAGGCCAAGATGTAAATCCTATTGATCTTTCTTTGTTCTTATGGAGCTATTTTACTATATGCCAGCATACCAACTGTTTGCATTTTACTAGTTCTTTTTGATGCTTGAATTCAGTGCAATTTCTGATGTGTTACCTCATTTTTTTTAACACTTCACAAAACCAGACTGCATCTCGACTGACTTGACAAATGTTCGTGGTGTGTTTGTAGGAAGCATGTAAGTTTTGACATGTTGTGTTTGCTGAGTATTTAGAATGCAAGTGAGTTTCAAATAGGGCTCTGGCTTGTTCGCTTTCCCTTCCGAGCGCTCACTCGCTACGTGAGGCTGATGCAGCACGACAGGGCACACTTGCTAGGAAAGACCATGGTGACATTGTCAGAACTCTGCGCGACTACCACAGTTTTTGCTTTTTCACTCTCACTCACTTGCTTCCACCCAAGAGAAGACTTTGTTCTCTGCCCCCGCTAATCTTTCGAAATGAGAAAGTGGGTCTCTTTTATTGGGATGAAGTGTTTGGAGGGACCTAAGCTGATCAGCTCTCAACAGCATGTGACAATGCCACATATTACGCTCTAAGTGGGGCACACTTTGGAGACCTTGCCAGGCATTTTAGAAACACAAGAAGTTGTAAAAAGGACGTCCAGGAGTGCCTTTAAGATACTTTTAAGCTAAAGACGATGAGCCGCAGTGAAACGACACATCAGAGTATTTCACATTTATTGAGGTCAAATTAAAGACGAACAAGTGATTCATCGTTTTAGCACAGCTTCCACGGCGCACTGTGTCGCCTTGTAAAGGAAAGGAAATAAAATAAGGTTTACTGATTTAGTAGGGGCGACCGGTTAGCACATCTGCCTCACAGTACAGAGGTCCAGGGTTTGATTCCGGGTTCCAGCCTTCCTAATTGGAGTTTGCATGTTCTCCCTGCCGCGACCTTTGTGAGGATAAAGTGGTTCAGAAAATGGATGGATGGATGGATAGATGTTCTTCCTGTAACTAGGTGGGTTTTGTCCAGGTACTCCGGTTTCCTCCCACATTCCAAAAACATGCACGGTAAGTTAATTGGGCACTCTAAATTGTCACTAAGTGTGATCGTGAGTGTGAATGGTTGTTTGTTTATATGTGCCCTGCGTTGGCTGGCAAAAAGTTCAGGGTGTGCTTCGCCAACTGGGATAGGCTCCAGCACGCCCATGACCTTTGTGACGACAAGCGGTTTGGATAAGGGGTGACTGACTTTGTAGGTAACATAACGACCGTTTCCATGTCAGCATTTTGTCATTTTGGATTTGTCTTCAAATTTCACAACCAGACATGATGTAAAGTCATCATTGTGCCAACATTGGACTTTGTCAAAGTTGTGCCAACTATCCATCCAATTTTTATACATCTTAGCCTAACATGTCTTTAAAATAAATTATTATTTGAAATAATACTTGACTCCTGGACATGTAACGTCTTCATCAAGTTTGATCAATTGTCATTTTAAGTACAACCCAACTACTAGACACGATCGATCCACCTGTGTTCTTTATTTGCTAGTCAGGCTGTAAATTTTAGCATGCTAGCTTTTTCCATCCACCCATCAATCTATTCTCTGCATACCACTTATCCAGCACATACCACACACACAGGGCACATGGAGACAAACAACCATTCACCCTCACATTCACACCTCCAGCCACATTTTTCAATGAACCTAACATGCACGTTTTTGGAATGCGGCAAAGCCGTGCAAGCAAGGGAAGAACAGACAAACTACACACAGGCATGCTTTGTGTTGTGAACTTCACAACAAGCAGCAGTATGGTGACGAATTCTTCAGAAAAGTTGCTAAATGCTCACTGAATTATCAAGATGCACAAACAATAACATTCAGTAGAATAACATATGACAAAACGTGGGTGATTTTTGGTGTGTATGAGTCACATTTTCATGCACTTCAAAGGGGAAATGTGAGATGCGAATGTGATGAGTGTGGTCACTATTGGAGCACCTGACCACTGTACAGGGCATGATGTAAAGTTCTTACCCCTCTGCCTTAGCACTTTCTGTCGTCAGCCAATTTAAAATGACATCACAGTCCATATGGGCTCAGCTTGCAAACACCACATGACCAAACCCACCAAAACAGGTAAGCCGCGATCGATGTCAACTGCGACCTCATCTGTGACACTGTGTCATGTTTCACTGGTGAGTCAGATTTGGAATCACGGTGGGCAAAGATCGGCCACTCGCGAAAACTAGTGACAGGACGCTGCACACTGCACGACATTTCGGTCGGGTTTAGCTGCAATGCTTGGTGCACAGCGGTCCTTAGTTAGACAGTCTGCTCTCATGTATCATTAGTCGCCGTCTTCTGTACTATCATGCTATAGCTAATGAGCCAAATAACTTCGACTGTTTCCAGCAGCCTGAATGAACTAATCGGTGCCAATTATTGACTCATTTTTCTTTGTCATGATGGCCAACATCTTTGTTTATGGATATTTGAGGAAGGAAGAATCAGCCTGAATCACAGTGCATCGCAAAGCGTGTACTTGTTTTGAAACACACAACCACTTTGCCAACTTTGATCATGAATTTGAGCCTAAAATGGAAACAGAGATTTGCAATGAGATGGGAGAAAATGATAAAATATCACATCACTATATGTCGTTCAACTGTCAGATTCAACTGTATCAAATCAACGGCACATTAAATAACCCACACTCAACAACAAAACAACTATTGCTGATTTTGTTTTTTTGTTTTGTTTGTTTTTCAAAGCAAACCATTTCGGGGAGATATACAGTAGAAGATTAAATGAAATTTTGCGAGAAACACCTTTTTGCCACCAACGCCACCAAAAACAGTTCAACGGTCCCAGCACTATAACAGCTTCATTGTTTTCCGCGAAGCAGCAATTACAAGTCTAACTCTTCTGTTGCTCGCCTAACCTAACAATCTGGGCCAGAGTGACGACTGACCTTGCGAAGACATCTGTATGCAGGATGTCATTTCGCACTGTGAGCCTGTTGGGTGCTGAATGAATGAAGCTTTTGCGATGGATGAGGGGAGATGAGGGAAACAAAACCTGTAATGCAATGTAACGGCCCACCGTTTTAGACACATGAGAAATCTCACGCCATACATGCCTATGCTCAAGGGGTCGGTTGAAAAAACAGGTTTATCTTACGCCGTAAGTAGTACTATTTGTTTTACACGTTAGGCCTCTTTTAGCTCTGAAGACTCTTGCAGGGACTTTCCATATCACCCTTCCTTATGGGGAGTGGTCATTTTCTGTATAAACCACCCCCTTTCATCCCAACCCACGTCTCTCGAACCTTGTTTACTCTCTCTTGTCCCCAAGCGCAGGAGGGAGCCCCACCTCTCATCAGACGCAATGAGGTCACCATCGCCGTGACCAAACTGCACGTGAGGCACACAGAGCACCCCCTCACATGCAAACAGTGCTTCTTGTGTGCTGTGCTTTCTTTAAAAAGGGGTGGGGGGGAATGGCACAAGCAGCAGAAGATGAATTTACACCCCCCCATAAAAAAATGAAACGACTCTTACGAAGATTGATTAAGACATCTGATAAACATGCCGGAAGATGATGATTGCATATTTAAGAGGGCGGCGAGAGCGAGTGCTCAACTTTTGCATCATTCAAATTCCTACAAGGAATTGCGATGAGAAAGGCAAAAATCCCCTCAGTGGCTGCAAGTGAAGTATTAGTCTGTCAGACTCTGACAGATTTAAAGAACTTCAGAGTCTTCTTCAAGCCCCAAACCCTCTCTGGAGAGCCAACTTCCAGAACAAAATGTTTGTATTTGTCATTTTTGAAAACTATTTCAGACTCAAAAAAAGTGGAGGTTATATTACCTCTTTGCTCTTGTTGGTATATGCTCCCAACATTGGTTTGCTCAATGGCAGAGTTTGGAGAGTTTCTGCCGGGCGGGACAGGCTGCAGGAAGGGAGGCTGCGGTCTTGCGAATGGTGGGAACTGCTCATACTGAGGACTCCGTACCGGTGCCTCGCCGGCCTGTCCTGGCTGGTCCACTCTGCTTTCAGGGATTGAGGCGGCAGGGTCTTCGTTGTATAGACTGTGGGTGTATCTGCGGTCCAGGCCATCTGAGAATGGTGGCTGGACGGGCTGGGTGGCCTGTGGGGGCGGCGCAGGATTGGTTCCATAGCTGTAAGACTGGTAGAAATGGTAACTGTCATCTGTGAAATCAGGTTGCGAGCCAGGCAGTACCGGGCCTACACCGTACACCCCTCCGGTGTACCCCTGTCCACCGGCGTACGATCCACCAGCGTAACCCCCTCCGGGAACTGACTGAAAGGGCGGCTCGTAATTCCTGTACGGCCCCTCCGCATAACTGGGCTCAAACGGCACAGGTTGGTAGAAGGGTTGCTGAGGAACGGGATACTGAGGGTAGGAAGGAATGCTGTAAGGTGATGAAGGGTAGGAAGATGAGGAGCCTGTGGATTGCCTGACCCTGGTGCTGGAGGACCCCTGGAAAGGTACCCCACCTGTGGAGCCTGACGTTTGCCTCCAGTTATCAGGCACTTGCCCAAAACCGAAAGGATGCCTGGCTTGTCCGCGGATAGTCTCAGAGGATCCTCGTGAAGGCGCTTGTCTGCGGACGTTGCCACCTTGAGATCTACGGGACGACTGAGGGCGGGTGTCGGCAACCACTATTCGGTGATCTTGGTCCTGCGTGCCGCTCCCGGCAGGAACGTATTCGGACCCGCTGTTGAGCAGGCTGAACCTGCGACCATTGTTCTCCCACTGGATCACCTGCCGCCACGGGATGGCTGAGCCGTCCTGCCTGGAGGTCCGACTCTGACTCTGGGCCTGTCCCGATCCCGCCAGGACAAATACTAAACAAACAACAGGCAGCATTGTGACTTCAGACTCAAAACACCTGTCGCGCCGTCAAAAAAACATGAGTGTCCTGGTTCCTAGGGTTGGTCTGTCGATGGTGTTGAAGTGATGCAGGTCTTCTGCTCAGGCACATCTGCAGGTCTTCTTGTGACAAGCGAGAAGAAGGTGAAAGTCGTGGTGGTCTGTCCAACGTCAGACGTTCCTGCCTGCCTGCTGCACCGCTGCAAGTTTCTATTTGCCTGATTGCTTACAATGAGCTGTGAAAAAATCTCAAAGGTTTTTTTTCCTCTTCTCTTTTTTTAAGGAGAGGTCCCACATGGCCCTAGTGCTAGTGATGTTTCCTGGCCTGCAGCAGGCCAGCCCTCCGTGAGGCCTCCAGAATCAACATTACCATCTGTAAAGGCATGTACAGTAAAATACACCTCACTTCTCACAATGTCTTGGACTCTTCACATTGGGTCACGTAGACAAATATATAGGCTACACATATGCGAGCAACAGGTGTTTATATGGCTGCTATGACACTGTCACTTTACCTTTTAAACTTCTACCAAAATAATGACGAGCAGATGTTAGGCTTTAATTGGTAACAGTGAGCATTCAGTCATAGAGAGCGGGTATACTTACACAATGAACACATGGTTGGAACACGTTGCTAAGGGAAAGGAAACAAGCTGTGAGTCCCTTGGAGTCATACACTTGCAGGAAAATCTAGAAAATGCATAATTTACTCAGAAGGGGCCTTAAAGTGCCGTACCTGGGTAGCGTGACATCAACATGTCACACATTTTGAAACATCAAACTCAAATATGTGTTTCCTTGAACTGAGTTTGTTCTATTAAAAAGGAAATATGTGTTTAAAATTCACCTCTGGCTTGTACTCATTGAAATACCTTAGCACCAGAGATAATCGTTGGAGTACACAATTATTAGTAAATGTACACATTTTCTTCATCTCTTACTTCTCCTCCTTTTACAGGAGTGTGAAACTCATTTTTGTCGTGAGCCACACTGTAGTTACCGTTTCCCTTGGAGGGGCGTTATGACTGTTCAACCATCAAGTCAAAACAATGGTTTCTTTCACTATGAAAGTTACTGTAGTGGGGGGTTTGGTAACAAGAAAATGCTGACAATATCTCTGTTATTTATTACATGTGAGAATTTGAAATTTTGGTATAGATTTTAGGAAGCATCATGGAAATTGACGTGTTTGATTTGCTTTCACGGGCCACATTAAATGATGTGGCGGGCCAGATTTGGCCGTCGGGCCTTGAGTTTGACACATTTTTCACTTGCCCACTAGCATTCAGAGTGAGGCACAGCATAACTGAATTAACTTCTGTTGTAGGCTACAGTTAACTGAAAAGTGTGCCACCGAGACATTTTATTTCAAAACCGCAACATTGCAAATCTAACAGTAAAATAGAAAAATATTAGTATTATTGTTATAGTCGAGGAACCCTGTTATAGTTGGAAGTGCAGTTTTCTCTCCTCCCATGTCCTGACACACACAGCCGCACAAACACGACCACTTTTCCTCCTCCCCTCAATAGCCCCGATCACAAACATACACCAGTGCACACGCACACAAAAAGACCCCCTGAGCCTGTGTGCCCAGACACGGTTCAGCCCAATCGAACTGGTGCTGCATGCACTACAAACCTTCATTTGCACAAATGTTCAGAGAGGAGTCATTTGGCGACTTATTCACATGGGATCGGAAACATGCTGAAGTCCACACAGGCACGACCCCCCCCCCGGCCCCCACCCCCTCTCCATCCTGCATTCTGTTATCAAAGTCAGCAGTTTAGAAGGTGTTTTCCTTGGAAGCCACAGGACACACAGCAATGTCACATGGCCAAGGAAGGACAACATTCCCTTTGTGTCCTATCGAAACGCAACACTTTTAATGCATTTGCTCAAGGGAAAAAAAATGATTATTAGAAATAATTTTCTTAACAGTTCAATTGTTTTCAATTACACATTTTTTACAATGATTTAATGTGGTAAACAAGCAGAATCTGGACTTTTTAAAAGAAAATACTTAAAAAGTGAAGTACTTTTTACACCATTATCCAACATCAATAGGGGGGTGCCCAGTCACAATTGTGACTGAAGTTATCATTGCAGTAGCGAGGAACCTTTGTCGGAAACAGTTAAAAGTTGTGAAATTTTGTGGCAACAGGTGTCTCCATCTAGTGGAGCAATTTGAAAGGTCATGCACCATTTAGTTTTGTATTCAAGCCATTACCCAACATTAACTCTTCATTGGCAACCGTTTTCAAAAAAGAGAACATCTTGAGTGCGGGCCAATTTAGAGCAATGCTCCCAAAACATTCTGTTTTATGACTATGGAAACAAAGAAACTAGCAATTGAAAGATTAGACTATTATTTCATCACAACTAAAATGTTTCTACCTTATTCCGTTTTTACTAATCTGCAGAAAAACATCTGTTGGTTTCAACTACTTCAGCGCAAAAACACAAACTAAGCTTCTTGTGAAAACATTTTATGCACAACAGTGACTGTGATGCTAATATTTTTTGCTTTCGTGATGCCTGAAAGGTATGAACGGTCTTTTTTTTTAATATAAGATACCACCAACAATGAAAATGTGCTTTTGATGGCATTTATAAAGAATCACTAGTGTAACAATTTCACATTTGACAGTCATATTATTTATATGGTATTTAGTAATAGAGGTATTTAGTAGTGTGTGTGCATGTGTGTGTGCCATGCATGAGTGTGTGCATATGTGTGTGTGCGTGTGTGTGTATGTGGATACATTATGACATCACTTCGACTACAAAATTTAAATAATCTCAGTCATCGATCCAGCACTAGATACTTGGAACGTTTGCATTGCCAAGGGTCCACCATGCTTTTGAAGTTTAGACATTGGTGTGGCATGGTGAGCTCATCCAAAGAGATCCAATGTGCTGTCATCTGCTGGCCATCGTTAATTTACTTATTATTTGTTTTCTCTGCTAAATGATCAAGCCTTTTCTCCGCCTATTGCCATAAAAAAAACATGGTTGTCATAAAATGACGTTGGTGGCACTCCTCCTTAAGATCCCTGTTGACGGCAAGATTTAATAGCGACACATGTTTATCGTTTCAGTAGCAAGGCACCCTTGCGGTAAGGGTGTGAACTGTTGTTGCATGCTTTGAAAGGGGAAAAAAAGTTGGAGCAGCTGGGCATGAAAGACACCCCTCCCACAACGGACACACACTTTGTAATACAAACCATTGCCCATGATCAAAAGCAACACACTCTCCAAACTGCTATTAAGGTTATCATTTCAGAAGCAGAAAAGCATCAAAGACGTGAAATGTTGCTACATTCTTTAAAAAATGGGATTTTCAATTGGACTTTTATTGTTAGTTTTTGTGTCGCTTTAATATTTTAGGCGAATTGAATAAAATAAAGAACGGAATAGCGCAACGTGTCAATAGGATCTCTTTAGCATTGAAAATGTAGCCATCCAATGCACCCGCTTTTATTGCCTGTTCGAGCAATACAACAAAAAGAACTTTCAAATAATCACAGTGGTCACGTTGTGTAATTATATGTCGATGTACGCTTCTAATTAAAGCAAATCAAAGAGACGCTGTAAGATTTGCAGAAAATTGGCTTCAATTGTGACAGTTTTCCCACTTCTCGCACGCATTCCTTATGATGTTAGCTTCATCAAGGTGTACGTATTTCCTTCAGAGGGATTTATATCGAGCTTGATTGTGTGCACGTCAAAGCCTTGGTTTTCTTTCTCGTTTGGCAATTAATGATACTTGTAGATGTTTTTTTTCTCGTGATACAGCTTGGGGCTTTTTGTTTCTTTTCCCCCCCGCCCCACCCTCCCTTTCTCTCCGTGCTTAATTACAGATTAATCCCAGAGGATTTTTCTCCTGCAAAAGAAAACGGCTGTGAGAGATATTGGGAATGTCTTGAGATGCTGTCAGTGGAACATTCCGGTGAGAGTTGCCGAGTTTTTTTCCCCCCTTCTTTTTGTGTGTGTTTCCTCCACCGTCTTTGCTGCTGTGTGCCTTGTCACGTCGTGTGTCTGAGAAGTACACTGAAAAGAACGCTTTTAATGGGAGTGACTGTGCAGAATGGAATGAGATCCCAGGGTAGGGAATCTGAATAAGGCTATGGTGGAATGTTGCTCAAGCACAATGTCCTTGAGGTCGCTTAATTTTTGGGGGGTGGAGGGGGGTATGATTTTAGAATGAGCTTTCTTTGTGTGTTTTGCAACACTGATTCGGCCCATATAAGGAATGTGAGGCCTCAACAAGGGGTTTCAAAAGAAAAACTTGCAAGTGGCTAGCACAAGCAGTTTTCATTAGAGAGCTCTTTTCCATGGTTATCGACAGTCAACTCCCAGTGCAAACATAATGACACAACACTAAAATGCTCATTCACACAGCTGGGCTACCGCGCTAGTCAGTTATCTAGCACTCGTTTCCATCCATCCCTCCATCCATCCATCCATTTTCTAATCCGCTTACCCTCACGAGGGTCATGGGTGTACTGGAGCCGATCCTCGCTGTCTTCGGCTGTCAGCTAATCGCAGGGCACACATAGATGAACAACCATTCGCACTCACACCTTGGGACAACTTAGAATGTTCCATTAGCCTGCAATGCATGTTTTATGGAATGTGGGAGGAAAACGGTGTACCCAGAGAAAACCCACGCAGGCACAGGGAGAACATGCAAACGCCACACAGCAAGGCCGGAGCTGGAATCGAACCCCTAACCTCTGCACTGTGAGGCGGACATGCCAACGAGTCGAACACCATGCCGCCCACCACTCATTTCCACCACAGTTAATGTATTTATTTTGATTGGGCATCATAAAAATAATGATAGAACATAAAATGCTCAAATAAAAATAATAATTAAAACACTACAACTGAATGAGGAGGAATGTTATGTGCACCCCTTTTTTAT